TTTTTTTAAAAAAATGAGGTTGCTTTCCTTGAACTCCTTTTCAGTATGACAATATTGGATCTATATTCCATCTTAATTATGTTATTTGTTTTAATATTAATAGATACCCAATAGAAGATGAGCCCTCTCACTTGGATGAAATGCCTCTAATGATGTCCGAAGAAGGGTTTGAAAATGATGAAAGTGATTACCATACATTACCAAGAGCCAGGATTTCTCAAAGAAAAAGAGGTCTAGAATGGTTCATCTGTGGTGGCTGGAAATTTCTTTGCAGCAGGTTTGTGGATAATTGTGTTGTTTTGTTTAAATGCAAGATCTCCTGATTTCTAGAATTTCCATTACCTTCAAGACAAGAATTGGCATTCGCTAGCTTCAGGGGAAAATCACTACATTTTGAAGGAATAAGATCTTGGGAGGTAAATCCCAATCATGGTGCCTTAATATTTATTGTAATGAGGATATTATCTTCTAAAACAGGGGTATCAAACTCAATTTCATTGAGGGCCGCATCAGCATTGCGGTTGCCCTTGGGGGGCCGGGTAGGTGTGGCCAGGGTGGGTGCGGCCTACTGGGTGGGCATGGATGGAGTGGGTGTGGCCTATTGTGTGAGCGTGTGAGAACGCCCCGCTGCCTGCCGAAACCCCTCCCCCAGAGCCCATCAAGCCGGATATGTGAAGTAGGCAAGGGCCATTTGCTGGCCACCTCCAGGCGATGGTGCATTTTTTCATTCCACACAAAAGGTGACACCTCCCCAGCATACACCCAGGGGGCAGGGCCGACGTGGCAGGGGCTGGTTCCTCGCTGTTTCCAGACGGCCTTGTGGAGCTAAGACTGAATGCATTTCAGCATAGATGGCCACCACAAAATTGTACATTGGCTCCCAGCCGGCCAGGGCCAAGGCAGTGGGGGCCGTTCCCTCACTGTTTCCAGGATGGCTTCGCGGGCCACATGAAACCACTTCGCGGGCCGCATCCGGCCCCTGGGCCTTGTGTTTGACATGTCTGTTCTAAAAGTTAGGGCGAGTCCCTTAGTTTTCTTGTTACTAAAATAGCCTTTAGTGACTTCTTTTAACATAACATTGGCCAGAAGTATAAATTGGAGGTTTTTCTTAGAGGCACTAGTGCAAGGCCCAGGTACTCACATCGCCGTCTTAATTAATAATCATAGTAGATAGCTTCATAGAAGTTGAGGTGGTAGTGGTTAAATTCTTATATTAATCCAAAGTGACAGTTTATAGAAGGTCTGTTTTACTCCAAGTTTATTTTGTATGTATTTTTTTTAGTTGAGATTCTTCCTACCATCAACTTTGCATGAGTAAAATAATAAAAACAATGCTTATAGTGCAATTTGTTATAAATTTTATAGTGTTACTTTAAAAAGCTGAATAAACAAGAATCCTCATCTTGTACTTGCCAAAATTTCAAATAATATTTCTCAAACTGAACTCAATAAGGAACTAAATTCTAACCCTCTTTAGAAAACTATGCAGTAGTGAAAACTATGATCGGCACCTAATATTAAATTTGACAAGTAGACAATTAAGTGGGAAGTGCTAAATTTTCATTTAGGTATTAGCAGTTGTACAGTATTAACTAGATACAGTATTCACGCAGAGAAACACATTAAATAATAAAACTATAGTAGAGCTCCTAGGATAGAAACCAGGCTTAATAATTATATACATTGCCTATTTTATCAGAAGAGCGGTGCGGTGGCTCAGCAGTTATGACGCTGGGCTGTGTCGGTTGGAAAGCCGGCAGTCCAAGTTCAAGACCCGAGTGCCATGTGACGTGATGAGCTGCTGTCCTCCTACCAACCTACCAGTTCGAAAGCATGCAAATGCAAGTAGATAAATAGGTACCACTTTGGTGGAAGGTAGCAGCACTCTGTGACATCATGCTGGCCACATGACGGCAGAAATGTCTTCAGACAGTGCTGGCTCAATGGCCTTGAAATGGAGATGAGCATCGCCCCCTATAGTCGCCAGCAATTAGCAGAGTAAAATCCACAAGCATTTCTTTACCTTTACCTTTATTTTATCAAAACAAGGCTATGAACAAAAAGGTATTTTAGCAGCATGTTAAATTCAAATTACTTAGGCTCCCACCATGAAATATATTGTAATTGGCTTTTCTTCTTCGGAGAAGTAGGCTAGACTGTAAAAGTCTCCACTCCTAATTTTGCAGCCATAGATTTTCATGAGGGTGAGAGATTCTGCTGAGGATTCTTTTACTGTCTGAAGAACTGTTTCTCTGGGTGAGGGGATCCCAAATAAAATTGTCTTTGAAAGAGGCGCGAGTGCATATCTCATTTTCCAAATAACACCTCTTTTCAAACAATTAAAGCAAAATTTTATTTACAAGGCTTGCATGGCTGATTCAGAAACTACAGCCAACAGTCCTTGCATGCCTCCACTACACTCTACTGATAAGTTAACTCAGGGGTCTTCAAACTTGGCCCTTTTATGACTTGTGGACTTCAACTCCCAGAATTCCTCAGCCAACGTTCCTGGCTGAGGAATTCTGGGAGTTGAAGTCCACAAGTCATAAAAGGACCAAGTTTGAAGACCCCTGAGTTAAGTGATTCTTTAAATACTTTTCACAGCCCTAATCCAAAATACCAATTTTTTTGGGTTATGAAGAGTCACATTTTTGTCCGTGTTCTGCATTCCAGAAATCTACTGTGAAAGACATCAACATCTAACATCATGGTAGAGTCCATTGTTGCGCCCTGACCATGATTCTTCTTTTAATTTTTTCTAACTCCTTGCATTCCAAATGGTGCTAGAAGGCATTATCATTCTGGGCCATTAGCTGTAATGAAATGAATGCAGTGACTGTTCAAAGTTTCAACGGCCCTGAAAAATGTGACTTATGACCGTTTTTCATAGTTATGACCTTTGCAGCATCCCCATGATCATGTGATCAAAATTCAGATGCTTAGCAACTGGTTCATATTTATGACTGTGTCCCAAGGTCATGTGATCACCTTTTGCGACCTTCTGACAAGCAAAGTCAATGGGGAAGCCAGATTCACTTAATAACCGGGTTACTAACTTATCAACTGCAGTGTGATTCACTTAACAACTGTGGCAAGAAAAGTCGTAAAATGGGGCAAAACTCATTTAACAAATGCCTCACTTGACAGCCGAAATTTTGGGCTCAATTGTGGTTGTAAGTCGAGAATTACCTGTATACAAGCTTATGAACCAGTACTCTGAAATGCCTTTTGAGCCAGATAAAGAATCTGATCCTTATTGTGAGGCTACATTTTTAATCTTTACATGTTGCTGCAATGTCAAAATAATTTGCTGCTCAAAAAATGTTTAAGGTATATGAGAATTAGGATTATTGTGGTTGGCTGCACAGTCAGATGTTTAGATTGGAAGTGGCATTTATATCTACCTATGGAGTTCTTCCCAAGGATCTGGCATAGGTAGATGTGTGTGGTTTGATCATGCTAAGGTTGCAAGATATAAGCTGTTCCAAGTAAAGTTGCCTTTTGTAATTGAGAGATGGTGATTTTGCCAACCCACAGTTACTGGTCTAGGGTGTAGACCAGGAACTGCGTCAGAATGGTTATATCTTATATAAATAATAAACTATAAAATCCCACCATTGGGGTAGGTTTAAGGTCCTAGATTTAAAAAATGTAGTAAGATGGAGAAAGGTTGTTTCTATATTAAAAATAAATTTCATGTTGTCTTTCAAATAATTGCTTATATTTTATTTAAGGTATTCTTTAGATTTCTTATTTAAGAATAAGAGCATAAGTTTAGATTTCTAAATTTGAGGCTGTTACAAAAGATAAAAGTAGAGCTTAGGATTTCAGACTGAGGTTTGAGAAGAAAAAATTACATTGTTTTCTTTGGTAATAGTATTTTGGTAATTTAATTTACATCAGTCATCTTTTAAATACACGCTTTATAGTAAAGTAACTAATTCCCACTCTTGTTTATTTTTAGCTTTTCTTTTTTAAGCATATATTAACTCTATCCCTTTTCATTTGTTTAAAGATTACACTAGGCAAAAATCTTATTTGCAGGTTTTATTCCTAACTTATTTTTATGACCTGAAAAGAAAGATGGCAGTACCCTTTCACTGATGTTCCCAAGAGCCTTAACACTAATTCACTAACAGTGGGTAATATCTTGAATTGATTGATGTTGGTGAAAGGGGAAACGTAAATTCATTAACTGATGATAAGTTAACATTTCAGCTTTAAAGGTTAAAAAGTACATGTAACTGATGACTCTAGAGTGAATACAAGTTTAAATTATCTCCTGGTACTCTCCTGTCATTTATAAAGCTCTTGTGTTGTACTCTCATGCTTGACTTCAGCAGAGTCTCTTGAGTAAATTAGTCTTGCATTGTCAGGAGCACTCTTATTTTAAGTTTATATTAAATGCACCTTTTGCAATAAAGAACTATAGTAACGGTTTGCTAAAGATTTGGGTATTTGTTTTTTGATCACACATTAGAAGTGTGGC